AGAACCGTTAAATACCGTGGTTACAGCGCATTTTTTAAAATTTGAATTCTTTAGGTGGTAAAAAGTAAATTTGGTGCCTGCACTTCATATCTGAGAGTCAAATAGAACCTTCAAATACTGTGCTTACATTGCAGTTTTAAAAATTCAAATTCTTTAGGTGCTAAAAAGTAAATTTGGTGCCTGCACTTCATATCTGAGAGTCAAATAGAACCGTCAAATACCGTGCTTAAATTGCAGTTTTAAAAATTCAAATTCTTTAGGTGGTAAAAAGTAAATTTGGTGCCTGCACTTCATATCTGAGAGTCAAATAGAACTGTCAGATACTGCTGTGACATAGCAGTTTTAAACAGTCAATTTTTTTTGCTGCTAAAAGTTAAATATGGGGCGTGCACTTCATGTCTAAGAGTCAAATAGAACCGTCAAATACTGTGCTTATAGCGCAGTTTGAAACATTCAAATTTGTTTGCTGCTAAATAGTACATTTGCGGCTTGCGGTGCACTTCATATCTGAGAGTCAAATAGAGCAGTCAAATACTGTGGTTACAGCGCATTTTCTAAACATTCAAATTGTTTTGGTGCTAAATAGTACATTTGGTGTGTGCACTTCATATCTGAGAGTCAAATAGAACCACCAAACATTGTGCTTACATTGCAGTTTTAAAAATTCTAATTCTTTATTTGCTAAAAAGTAAATTTGGTGCCTGCACTTCATATCTGAGAGTCAAATAGAACCGTCAAATACTGCTGTGACATAGCAGTTTTAAACATTCAATTTTTTTTGCTGCTAAATAGTACATTTGCGGCCTGTGGTGCACTTCATATCTGAGAGTCAAATAGAACCGTCAAATACTGTGCTTACAGCGCATTTTTAAACATTCAAATTCTTAAGGTGCTAGATAGTAAATTTGGGGCCTGCACTTCATATCTGAGAGTCAAATAGAACCGTCAAATACTGTGCTTACAGCGCAGTTTTAAACATTCCAATTCTTTAGGTGCTAAGAAATAAATTTGGGACCTGCACTTCATATCTGAGAGTCAAATAGAACCGTCAAATACTGTGCTTACAGCGCAGTTTTAAAAAAATCTATTTTTTTTGCTGCTAAATAGTACATTTGCGGCCTGCGGTGCACTTTATATCTGAGAGTCAAATAGAACCGTCAAATACTGTGGTTACATAGTTACATAGTTACATAGCTGAAAAGAGACTTGCGTCCATCAAGTACAGCCTTCCTCACATTTGTTTTTTGCTGTTGATCCAAAAGAAGGCAAAAAAACCCAGAAGGAAAAAAATCCTTCTTGACCCCAGTATGGCAGTCAGATTTATCCTTGGATCAAGCAGTTATTGCCCTACATTGAAAGATTATATCCTTGAATATTCTGTTTTTGCAAGTATGCATCTAGTAGCTGTTTGAACATCTGTATGGACTCTGATAAAACCACTTTTTCAGGCAGAGAATTCCACATCCTTATGGTTCTTACAGTAAAAAAACCTTTCCTTTGCCTTAGACAAAACATAGATTTCCACACAATGGTTTATATTGGCCCCGAATATATTTGTATAATGTTATCATATCCCCTCTCAGGTGATGTTTTTCTAAACTAAATAGGTTTAAATTTGTTAACCTTTCTTCATAGCTGATATGTTCCATTCCTTTTATTAATTTTGTAGCCGCCTCTGCACTTTTTCTAGTGCCATAATATCCTTCTTTAGAACAGGTGCCCAAAATTGCACAGCATATTCAATATGGGGTCTTACCAGTGATTTATAAAGAGGCAAAATTATATTCTTGTCCCGAGAATGAATGCCCTTTTTCATGCATGACAATACCTTACTGGCCTTGGCCACTGCTGATTGACATTGCACATTGTTGCATAGTTTGTTGTCTATAACAATTCCCAAGTCCTTTTTCGTGTGTTGTTATTCCTAATTTGCTTCCATTAAGGGTATACGTTGCTTGTGTATTCTTTACGCCGAAGTGCATAACTTTGCATTTTTCAACATTAAATTTCATCTGCCATTTGAGTGTCCAGTCCCCCAGTCTATCTAAATCCCCCTGCAGCAAAGTAATATCTTGCTCACATTGTATTATTTTACAGAGTTTTGTGTCATCTGCAAACACTGAAACATGACTTTCAATGCTGTCTTCAAGATCATTTATAAACATGTTAAATAGAAGGGGTCCAGAACAGACCCCTGAGGGACACCACTTGCCACTTCTGTCCAGCTTGAAAATTTACCATTAATGACAACTCTTTGTACTCTGTTTTTAAGCCAATGTTCTACCTAAGAACAAGCATTTTCATCTAGACCGATTTCTTTGAGTTTGAACACTAATCTATTTTGTGGAACGTTATCAAATGCCTTAGCAAAATCCAAATAGATCACATCCACTGCAACACCCTGATCTATACTTCTACTTACTTCTTCATAGAACGCAATCAAGTTAGTTTGCCATGACCTGTGCTTCATAAAACCGTGCTGATTTTTGCTGATAACCATGTTCTTCTCAAGGAATTCTTCAATATTATCCCTTAATAACCTTTCAAATATTTTCCCAGCCACGGAAGTTAAGCTGGCGGGTCTATAATTTCCAGGCAAGGATTTTGAACCCTTTTTGAATATAGGAACCACATCTGCTTCCTCCGATCCTCCGGAACACTTCCTGACAGAAAAGAATCTTGAAAGATTAAAAACAGAGGTTCACTTATTTCTACACTTAGTTCCTTAAGTACTCGTGGATGGATAAAGTCAGGCCCTGGAACTTTGTTTATATTAACTTTCTTTAGTTGCTGCAGCACCTTGTCTTGAGTTAACCAATTACAATTATTCTGCAAGTTTTTAGTAGCAATCATTTGCACATCTATTGTCATGGGTTCTTCCTTAATATATACAGAGGAGAAATAGTTATTTAAAATTCCTGCCTTTTCCTGGTCTTCATTAACTAACACCCCCGTTTCAGTTTTTAGTGTACCTACACTTTCATTTTTGGTGAACTCTTTCATTAATTACGGGTGCAATACAGGCAGGTACCTACACTTTCATTTTTGTGTTGTTTTAGAATTTATGAACTTAAAAAATGCTCTGGGGTTGGTTTTGCTCTCTTTAGCTATCATTTTTTCATTTTGAAGTTTAGCAAATCTAACTGCCTTTTTGCACGCATTATTTGCTTCCTTATATCTTTTATAAGATGCATCTGATTTGTCTGATTTAAATGCTTTAAATGCCATTTTCTTATTTTTAATCTCTTATTTTACTTCTCTACTAAGCCACATTGGTTTTAATTTGTTTCTCCTATATTTTTTTTCTCAGTGGTAGATACTGAGAAATGTACTTTTCTAATATTTGTTGGAAGATGATCCATTTATCCTCAGTGTTCTTTTCACTAAAGTGTTTATGCCAGTCAATATATTGTAAAGCTGCCCTTAACTTATTGAAATTGGCCTTTTTTAAATTATATGTTTTAGTATACCCCATGTGCTTTTGTTTTTTTTGAGTTTATTTCAAAGGACACTATATTGTGATCACTATTTCCCAAGTGCTCACCTACTTGAATGTTGGTCAAAAGATCAACGTTGTTTGTTAAAACCAGGTCCAGACAATTGTCCATTCTAGTTGGTGCTTGTACAAGTTGTAACATGAAGGTGTCATTTAACAAGTTTAAAAACCTAATTCCCTTTGCTGAGCTACTTGTCCCTCTGTCCCAATTTATGTCCAGGTAATTAAAATCTCCAATAATTAAAGTGTTACCCAGATTTGCTCAATTTGCTCAAAGAGCTGTTGTTCCTCGTCAATATTAACATTAGGTGGTTTATAACATATCCCAACCAATAGTTGGTTTCCCTTCTTTTCCCCCAAGCAGATATTTACCCATAAAGCTTCCACATTTTCCTCATCACATTTCACTTGCTTAAGATTTGGCTTTAAATCATGGTTGACATACATACCCCACCACCCTTCTTGTTTTTCCTATCCTTCCTAAATAACATGTACTGATTTAAGTTAACTGCCCAGTCATGTGTCTCATCCCACCATGTTTCAGTTATGCCTATTATATCATATTGTTTAGTGTATGCTACTGTCTCTAGTTCCCCCATTTTGTTATTTTGGCTCCTTGCATTAGTAAGCATGCATTTAATATCATGAGTCACTTGTACTTTTTGTGAATTATCAACATTGGTTACAGCGCATTTTTAAACATTCAAGTTCTTGGTGCTATAAAGTATATTTGGTGCCTGCACTACATATCTGATGTATGTGTGCAACACTGGCTAGTTACCGCTCCTCAAGAAAGTCTAAAGACTTTTTAAAAAAGTGAAAAATAAGTGTTATTGTGATCGCTTCATATACAGAAGCATTAATATACATTTCTAGATTGTGTAAAGACACAACTACAAAGTTAAAAACCAAACACCAAAAACAACGTTGAATGAAGGTCATGCGAGTGATGTGTGCAGTTTAGAGGAAGAGGCGCTGGTTGCACAGAGACACCAGCACAGCATAAGAGGGAGCAGGGTGCAAAAGCGGAGTGGCTGTCCCCTCGCGCTCGTCGGCATGTATCATCTTTAGAATTCCCACAGTTATCCAAGTAACAGATGGAGGGATAAAAGGAACCATAACAGATTTAACGAGCCATTCGCAGTTTCACAGTCAGGGGGCAGTCCGGTGACCGGGACCCAGACACTGTCTGGGCGGCGGTGACCGGGACCCAGTATGCCTGATGTTGAAGTTAGGAGTCACAGTGTGGAATAGATTAGCAGGGCCTAGTGCAGGGTAACCGCACGCCCCCTGGTGTTGAGCACCAGCATTTGTGCGGCCACATACCAGGACCCTGATGCAGCTTCAGCGAGCAGCAGCAGGCGATAATGGAGTTTCAACTGCAGCACGCACAGGTCAGTCGCTCTGCACCAGACGTGCCCTCCAATTGATCCAAGTTAAAGGATTTAAAGTGGACTCATTACAATTACAGGGCCTCAAAAGAGTAGTGTATTGTTATTTGTCGTCACTACCTCCCCGCATCGGGAGTGGGTAATTTGCGCGCCTGCTGCCTTCCTTGCATGTGGTAGCTGTTTCTCAGGCTCCCTCCCTGGAATCGAACCCTGATTCCCCATTACCCGTGGTCACATGGTAGGCGCGGAAAATAGCATCAAAAGTTGATAGGGCAGACATCCGAATGCTTTGTCGCTGTCAAAGGGACGTGCGATTGGCACGAGGTTATCACAGACAAGCGCAGCCACCTGTCCACGGCCAACGTGGACAAGCTCACGTTTATTAAAATGAACCAGGCATGGATCCCACCAGACTTGTCTGTACCTTGTGCAGAATAGACATTTATGGTCTCACCCAGCCATTGTTGTACTCAAGTGCACTTATTCTTTTTTTTCTTTTTTTATATGTCCCAATATTTTGGGGGCTACCCCAATTAAAAAAAAAAAAACAGTGTTGGCTACCTCCTCCTCCGCCGCCGCTTCCACCTACACCGCCACGGTGTATACCCAGATATATCAGAGCTGCTGCAGAAAGTGCTGGCCGTCTGTGCGCGACCTTTGGCATTCTCACCCTGCTGGTGCTCGCCTGTCTGCGCTGCAGCGTAACTTCGGCCTTCCCGCTCACCGCCTCATGTGCGACGTGCCCACAAGGTGGAACTCCACCTTGCACATGCTGGAGATACTGTGCGAGTAGCAGCAGGCGATAGCGGAGTTTCAGCTGCAGCACGCACGGGTCAGTCGCTCTGCGGAACAGCACCACTTCACCACCAATGAGTGTGCCTCCAAGCGAGAGCTATGTGCCATGTTGCACTGTTTCGAGGACTCCACCAACATGGCCAGTGCCGCTGACACCATTCTCAGCCTTACTATCCCGCTTCTCTGTCTCCTTGAAAAAATGCTTTGGGCAATGATGGAAGAGGATGTGGCACAGGAGGAAGAGGAGGAGGAAGAGGGGTAATTTCCACGGTTATCAGGTCAGTCATTCACAAGTGGCTCAGAGGGTGGGTTCCTGCACCAGCATAGGCCAGGTACACAATTGTCCAGCATCTCCACACTGTCCCATTGAAACGTTCAGCTGTCCATCTACCCACCCGCGATCCCTGGCCCTGAATGCCAGCATTTCAAAATTGGCCTTTGAAATGCTGTCATTCTGTCTGGTGGAGACGTACAGTTTTAAAAACCTGAAAGAGAAAAGAGGAGGAGAGGGGATGAAAAATCACCACCTCTACCTACAGAGGTTACAGGAGGTATAAGGGGCCTAACCCCAGAAACTTATATATTTAAAGAAAAAATGAGGTAGAAAATCCACTCACAAAAAGTAGGTGGAAAAACCAACCCATAAGGAAATACCTCCTTAATGTCAAACGTCACATAAGTAAAATAAGAAAATCTTTATTAAACAAAAATAATACTGAATATACCAAGAAAAAGTGATAAGTGATAAAGTACCAACACTGTGGCGAAACCAACCTCGCCACTGTACACTGGAGAAGCCTGGTTGCTCGCCTGCTGCCTTTGGACTATGGCCCCAGGTTAAAAGACATCTTTTTCCCTGCAGAAAAGACTTATTCATGCTTTTCGGCCTGGTGTTTGGTAGATTTAAACTACCGAACAACCGCACGAATGAATAGACCACCTGGGAGCTGGAATGTCCCGGCAATTAACCTCCCTGAAGCTGCGGTTAACCGCAGCTTAATTGACGAATGCTGGGTGGCCACCATTCGTATAACGAACACAAGGTCGTGGCCATTTTAAACATGCGAATGCACAGCAGTGTTCGACACTTAATTCATGGAACTGAAATCGGACACAGTTTTGCGCGAGCACCACTGAAGCCGCCGACCTCCCTTCTTGTTCGGTAAGAGAGCACAAACGGCCCGGTGTTCGGTAGTTTTGTTTGAGTGTGTTGTACCCCAGATAGGAATCCCATGGAGCCCATTCGCATGAAACTGACTGTGTAAAGACTTTGGCTCCATGGCGATTAAACTGTATTCGTGTGGTCTGAGCGCCATTCGCTTAATAATGTGCGCTCAGACCTGAGCTATCTGGGGATATGTAGAACGTATATGTTTTATGTACTGAATGTAACTGTAGGTAATTTTATGTCTTTTACTGTTTGTTTTCTGCCATGTGGTTAATGGAGTTTTGCCTCTGTCTTTGGAGATAATTGAATTACTTCTCAATTATCTCCAGAGCAGAGAGGAGGATTGTGATGCATTGTGGGATGGTTGAAACGTGTAAGTCTGTGATTGGTCCTTTTACCCTATGTGTCCCAGTCTCCCATTTGGTCCCCTAGGGGAGTGTCCACCAGGTGGGATACCTGCATAAAAGCCGGGCAGTTAGCCCTCGTAAAGGAGTTCCTGCTTAACCCTCAAAGTGAAGTGTCGTCTCATTATTCGGGGAGGATTTACTGTATGCTGTTAGAGACTGATTGCCAGGAGTGTAAGCCGCTTGGGGGCTTTTCCTGTTCGTCTGCTAGCAGCTATTCATGTGTCTCCAGTTCGGGAGTTTCATGTATTCCCTTGGTATGCAGTTCAGGAGTTGGTGAATTCGTGGGTTTGCAGTTCAGGAGATTGGTGCTTGCAGTAGCTGTCGGTGTAGCTGAAAAAGGGGAATATCGCCTAAACGGTTTTTAACCTCTTTTGGGCAAAACGGTCCGTTACAATTGGTGGCAAGCGACGGGATCATTCTCACAGCCCAGAAGGACAGCTACAAGGTAACACCATTCCCTGGATTTACAAATTGAGGGTAACGCTAGTACCCGTACAGCGCCCCTATCTACAGAGGAACCAACTTCGGCAGAGCAAGCATGGCGCCTGGCTACACTCAGGAGCAGTTGGACAGAGGGGTTAATGAGGTGCTGTCACTCTGGGGATCCATCCCCTCTGAGGAAACCGTGCAGCTCGTGAGGAAGGGAATGAGAGAGTACCTGCAAGCCCGAGCAGAGTGGGCCAGGGGGGAGATTCCCCAGCGGCAGTGTGTGTCCCAGGGAGCTGAAGGTGTCATCCTGCTGTCCTTCCTCCCCAGCGGCAGTGTGTGTCCCAGGGAGCTGAAGGTGTCGTCCTTCCTCCCCAGTGGCAGTGTGTGTCCCAGGGAGCTGAAGGTGTCGTCGTCCTTCCTCCCCAGCGGCAGTGTGTGTCCCAGGGAGCTGAAGGTGCCATCCTTCCTCCCCAGTGTCAGTGTGTGTCCCAGGGAGCTGAAGGTACCGTCCTTCCTACCCAGCGGCAGTGTGTGTCCCAGGGAGCTGAAGGTGTCGTCCTTCCTCCCCAGCGGCAGTGTGTGTCCCAGGGAGCCAAAGGTGTCGTCCTTCCTCCCCAGCGGCAGGGTGTCCTGCAGGGAGCAGAGACCGTTGGTCTCGCACCCCAGCAGCAGGACAAAATATTGAAAGGGGAGACGGTCAGTCCCCCTCTCCACCAGCAGAGAGAGTGTCAGGGAGAGGAGCCTGCTACCCCCTCTCCCCAGCGGCAGCTTGACATACCCAGGGGAGACAGTAAGCCCCACAACCGTACAGATGGGACCATGGTCTCTGCACTTACAGCACAAGGGGTAGGGACAGTCGATTCTACCCCCCAGCGACCGGGCTCTTTAGCCAAAGGGGAGACAGTCGGTCTCCCCCTCCGGCAGCAGAGCTGTGTATCCAAAGAGGAGATAGTCGGTTTCCCCCTCCAGCAACCAGGCTCCAACCAGACTACTCCCATGGTAGTGCTGGCACCAGGACAGAGTACCACTGGTCTCTGCCCACTCAGCAAGCCACCCAGTCCGCTTACCAGTCACCCACACAGCCATGGTGAGGCGCCTGGACATGGACAATGCTCTCCTCTACCCAAGTGTAGTAACCAGTTCTTGTGGGTGGGCGGAATTACTGATTGTGTTTTGTGGGTGGGCTGCTGGACTAACAAGGGCACTGACCGGCATGAGGTCAGATACCCTGTTAGTCTGATTGGTAAAGGGGAGAAGTGTGGCGAAACCAACCTCGCCACTGTACAATGGAGAAGCCTGGTTGCTCGCCTGCTGCCTTTGGACTATGGCCCCATGTTAAAAGACATCTTTTTCCCTGCAGAAAATACTTATTCGTGCTTTTCGGCCGGTGTTCGGTAGATTCAATCTACCGAACAACCGCACGAATGAATAGACCACCTGGGAGCTGGATTGTGCCGGCAATTAACCTCCCTGAAGCTGCGCTTAATTGCAGCTTAATTGACGAATGCTGGGTGGCCGCCATTCGTATCACGAATTACTTCTCAATTATCTCCAGAGCAGAGAGGAGGGATTGTGATGCATTGTGGGATGGTTGAAATTTGTAAGTCTGTGATTGGTCCTTTTACCCTATGTGTCCCAGTCTCCCATTTGGTCCCCTAGGGGAGTGTCCACCAGTTGGGAGACCTGCATAAAAGCCGGGCAGTTAGCCCCCGTAAAGGAGTTCCTGCTTAACCCTCAAAGTGAAGTGTTGTCTCATTATTGGGGGAGGATTTACTGTATGCTGTTAGAGACTGATTGCCAGGAGTGTAAGCCGCTTGGGGGCTTTTCCTGTTCGTCTGCTAGCAGCTATTCGTGTGTCTCCAGTTCGGGAGTTTCAAGTATTCCCTTGGTATGCAGTTTGGGAGTTGGTGAATTCGTGGGTTTGCAGTTCAGGAGATTGGTGCTTGCAATAGCTGTCGGTGTAGCTGAAAAAGGGGAATATCGCCTAAACGTTTTTTAACCTCTTTTGGGCAAAACAGTCCATTACAAACACCTATTAAAAACCTGGGTACACTAAGCCCAAACAGTTTTATTATTAGATGTACAGAGGAAAAAATTATATATATAAAGTAAATATACTACAGCAACCAAAGAAAAAAAAAAAAAGGAGCCAAGCTGAGAAATGCAGGAAAGGGTATCTGGGCTAGATGTAATACCTCCTAATAAAGTAAAAAAAGGAGGAGAGAAAAATTAGTAATAAAATGAAATACTGCAAAAATAATATCTAATGCCCTTAGTCTAGTCCAAAAAGGAGGGTAACATAGCCTCAAAATAATGTGGGTCTCCACAGTAGCAAGAGGCAAAACTATCAATATGCTCAACTAAACAGAGCTACCTGAACAGCACAGGGTCTAATTGCAAAAAGGTACCTCCCAACTGCATCAGGGATCCAGGGAAATCCTATGCTAAACTAACTAGCCCAAACACATCCATCTAACTGCTGCTTCGTTGCAGCCTGGCAGAGTCCCTAAACAGCTTATAGGTAGTAATGTATCAAGTAAATAGCAGACGCC